GAGAGAGAGAGAGAGAGAGAGAGAGAGAGAGAGAGAGAGAGAGAGAGAGAGAGCGGGGGAGCGAGAAAGAAATAGATTTATGGGAAGTCAGTCTCTGAAAAACACATAGAACTTGTTGCCTTGTAGTGTATGTAGATACATTTACATCATTAAGTTCGTGATGGTTGCAGTGAGCTGCTTCACATGAAAGTACAATCATAAGGAGATCCAAGACATCTCTTGGACGGAAGGTTTCTCCGAGCAAAAATATTACCACCAACAACAACTCCCCTAAAAACAAACAAACCAAAACCCAAATAAGTAAAACAAATAAAGTGAAAACATCAAACACAACAAGCAACAACAACAGACCAACAAAACAAAACCTAACCATGCTATTATGTTGAGCTTAAATATATATATTTTTTCTTTTATCATATGTTTTACTTTATCATAGTATGCAACTGTAACCTTTCAAAACCCTAATATTATTATCATTATTGAAGGCTTTATGAAATGCCTCAGCCTCACTCAGTGAAAGCATTTGTTGGGGTCAAATGAGAAACAGGCTTAGTCACAATAATTAATCCCATCATAATAATAGCAGCTCGTCCGTCAATGTCTGACAATGACCAATACGTCCACAGATGAGAATATTACTCCTGCGAGCTTAACGCGTTAGAAGAAATTAAGGTTAAGATGACTTGTGGCTTCTGCTTTGGCCGATGAGAACAATTCTGGATGAGAAAAGTTTGCCACATTTCAAACATTTTAGAACTCCTTTTCCACCTAGACTTGTGGATGTGCGCAGCTTGCAAGCTTTTCTCCTAGTTTCAGCATTTCCTATAATAATTCGAGGAGCCTCATACTATTATGATTTACAGCCCACTAAGAGTGCTGCGTATGCCAGGAGCTAGGCTCTCTCATGTTAATCTATTTATGTTGAGGTCCTTCAGAGACATTTTCAGGGTGACTTTGCAACTCTTTTTTTTTGGTGCGCCAACCTTGCATTTCCCCGAGGACAGTTCAGAATAGAATACTGCTTTTGGGATTCCACGGCCAGCCCAGCGAAGTTGAGTCCTTATTTTGAGCTTAGAAAACAAACTCTCGGCATTTGCACTTTAGAGAACTTCGGTGTATAGTATTCTATCCTACCATTTGATGCCAAGAATTCTCCTCAGGCTTTTCATATGGATTCAACTTCTTGGCATAGATTTGGTACACCGCCCAGGTCTCGGCACCATTATTCACCCACGGAGGTCCTCTGAAAGAATACCATATCAACAGCAGAAGGTACCCACCTAGTCATTGACTGGAACTTGCACCATCTTTTAGAAACTTAGAAGTACCTAAAAAGTGTAATATGACAAGAAACATAATTCTATGTATGGTACAGAAAAATACAACAACTTGAACTCACTGTTTAAGATAACAGATAACGGCAAAACGCGTTGTGAAGTATACAATTATCACACAAACAGGCTCCTTTTACAGCCTTTTGAAAGGGCTTCCAATGACGAGTGCCCTGAACCTTTTGCGTGAACTGAAAACAAAACAGTCGACCTCACCACCACCCCACCCCTTTTCCATTTCTGTAACTCAAGAAATTGTTTAATTAAAATATATATTATTGGTAAATGTTTTATACCCAGATCAACACAATATAGATTAAATTGGGGCAGCCTGCTTTGACCCAGACATAACCTGGGTTGGATGGAAACAGCATTTAAGAAAAAAATATGCTGAAATACTGGGTGAAATCGTTTCTCAGGCGGAATTTGAACCCTCGTCTTTTGGTTGCTACGTCGAAGAACCAACCCCTCACACACGTGTGACATCGCTCACTACAAAGAGCTCAGGACACGAAAGCAAAGAAAAAGAACAAACCGCACAAGAGCATCCACCAGCCCTCCTCTCTATAAGACTAATAATGATGTTCCCGACTCTGTTGGGTAGCAATTTGGCGCTTTGGTGCACACGCAGTAGATCAGAGTTCGATTCCCGTCTGGGGACAATCTTTTTCGAGATTTTTGAATTCTTTTGTCGGGACTTTGTATTCCTCTCAGCGCAAGTTGGCTCTAACGTGCAGGGTCGAAGCTCACTAGTTAAATTTGATCGAAATTGTGTCGATGAGGGTGTAAAGTAACAATGTTCTTTTTAAAAATGAGGGATAGTGTGACCATAATAACTGACATGGCTCTCGAATAATTTCACAACCTATTCATATTTAAAATATGTTACACATTGATGAACGAATAGGTCTTTTTGTCTAGTGTTAGTTAAAACGTTTTCGGAATTATCTATAGAAGGAATTTCATTCAGGGATCAAGCAAAGCCAGCGGCAAAGGTCAGCAACAAAGAACAATTAAGAGAACTTTTCGGGCAACTACTACTACTACTACTACTACTACTACTACTACTACTACTACTACTACTACTAATTATTGCATTTAATGTCGTGCATAAAACTCTCTATAGCATGTTCTGTGCGCTTCACTAACTATAATAACCCGAGCATACCCTATCTTGACCATTCAGAAACATGATCGGCTTCCCGGGAAGCATACAGTGCAAGTTGCGGATTGCCCACTCTAAAATGACCACCACCCAAAAACCCACCATCAACAAAAAAACAAAAACAAAACCACAATAAAAAACAAAAACAAATCAACAAAGAAACAACAGGAACAAAAAAGTAAAAACAACCATCCCCCCCCCCCAAACAACAATAACAATACAACAACAACAACATTTCCTTAAAACGAGAGGCTCTTATGTCCCGCAGTGACCAGTCATTACTGGCAAAAATCAATACCGGTCATTTCTCTGGGCTTCGGGCCTACAAAAATAGAATAGACAAAACATCGGACCCAATCTGTCCATTGTGTAGCGAGGAGTCCCAAGATTTGGAGCACTGGCTGCAGAGATGCCCCGCCACGGAGGCCCGGCGGTGGCATCTCTTCGTGGAGGATTCAGGGAGGTTGGACTGCCTCACCCGCTACCCAAGGGAGGCGGTGGCCCTGGCGAAGAGCACGCTCTTCGGGGCTCCGAACATTTCGAACGGATAGGCCACCACACACACATACACACACAACAACAACAAAACAAACAAATAAAAAAAAAAAAAAATACTCACGAGATCGTTTGAAGTCTTTCGCAGGCTAATCAGTGCGCAGATCATCAAAAGTGGCTTTTTAAAACTGTACGACGGTTCATCCCATAAGCACCCCTGTGAATTTCTATTGTTTGGATAGGGCTTACAATATGATTCTAAGTCTAGTTCTACATGTATGTGAAAGGCATATTAAGAGCCCCTCGCATAATGGAAAAGTTTGTAAGGTACTCGTCGACGAATAAAAACACAACCTGTTTACAACTTTTTCTTTCTGCTCTTCACTGTCCCTTTTGCTACTGTTGTTGTTCTTGTTGGATATTGATGTTGATATTGCTGCTGTGTACATTCCGTTTGCTCCATTGCTTTGTTTCCTCCTTAGCGAGTATTTGTTTGTTGTGGATTGTTTTGTTTTTTTATTATTTGGTTTTCCGTTTTTTGCTTTTTTTTTTGGGGGGGGGGGGTTGTCAGAGGGAAAGGGGGAAAGGGACAGCCATAATATATGCAATATTATCAGGTGTCTAAAAAGATGGATTTATTTAGAGGGCAATAACTCGGAACAAACAGAAGTCAAGTATGAAGACCCCACGTTTGTAAATATAAAGAAAATCAATCAAAGTCTTCAAAAATAAATATAAAGTTTTAAAAATTTCAACCAAAATTGAGTGAAACGCAAAATTTTGTATCTCCTTAAAAATCATCCAAATTCTTCCGTTTCAAACTATCGTAGGCCTATTTGAGCAGAGAAAAGCTTATTAATAAATAAATTAATAATGCCCCCCCCCCCCAAAAAAAAAAACCCAAACTCATGCAGGTGATGCCTTTTCAAATTTCAAAGTTTTCTCTGTTGAATTGTCTCGCTGAAAGCTTCAGTATGCCACTGGGAATTAAATTTTTGAATGGCCCTGGGGCGTGTTTCTGGGTCGATTCTTTGGACGTCATGTTCAACGTTGAGTTTTAACGTTTCCATTGTTTGTGGGTTGTTTCTGTAGACTCTGTCCATAAAAATATCCAAAGGTAAAAATTGAAAGGGCTCAAGTTAGGGAGAATGTGATGACCATTCATTTATAAACTTTCGCCTTATACGGCGTTCCTCAAACCTTTCTTACAACTACACAAGGGCCACTCTTGACGTGTGGATGGTGTGTGGACCCATCTTCCTAGAACCAGGCCTTTAAAACATAGCAACCCTTCCCCAAACTTCTGCAAAACTTTCTCAGCACAGTGAGATATCCATCTGAAGTGACTGTCGTGGTTTTACCGTCCTGGTCCTGGAACCAGAAAGTGTCGATCACGCCAGCGTAGCTGAACGTTTAAAGAAGTAAAAGTTTGCTTTTTACCCAATTTTGGCTTTAATTTTAAAAACTTGATATAATTTCTCGAAAGCTTTGATTGATTTTCTTAAAATGTTCAGACCTGATATCTTCATGGTTGAATTTTGTTTGTTCAAAGTTTTGTTGAGATTAACGCAAAGGTGATTGAGTTAATGCCCGTTAAGTGGCCCCGCTATTTTTAAGAAAGACACCCTGTTTTATACATGTATTGACAAAGCAGTCCCGAGGAGCAGTCCTACTGAAGTGATAGTCATCGGAATTTATTCTCTTTTGGCTTCTAGCTTTTTCATTAATTACAGCAACAACGGCGCGACAACAACAACTTTAATTTTGTCAATTTTTTCAGGAAAACTGTAAAATCACCAATCCAAGTAAAGGAGCAGCCAAATTTACAGCCTATGTCTAATAGTAATACAAACATTATAATGTTATATTAAAATGCTGTGTCGTCCCTTGAAGGCCGACACTACTTCACAATAGTTCTGTGACCTTATTTATTTCAAATTATCATTTATCGGTCGGGGACATGCAACATTTCAGCCAATTAGTCGCATACCGCTGTTCTTCACTCAGCTCCGCTGATCGCCAGTTCCCATTTTTTGTCCGGGAAAACTGAAGAAAATGGGTAAAACACCATTCTTTCGAAAGGAACCAAAGTCCGCCCTAACTGAGGCAGGAATCGAAATCATAACCGCATTACCGCTCTACTTGGACGCTCTCTTTGTCTGTGTACTTACAAGTCTGTGCAGTAAATGCAATAATCCGAGAGACTCGTTGGACAAGAGCATGCAGTAAAAGAATGGTCGCTCACGAAGTAGGTCACTGCAAATGTTGCTGCGATACTTCAGAGTGTACAGTACCCTGAACTATACTTTCCATACTTTGGGATATTCCAGAGAAGATGGCATTCTTCTAAAATCACTATTATTATCATACCCACGTTTTGCGTTGTTCCTAAGAGTTACTTCCGTAGCTATCATTACAGACATTTCGCAGTGATAAAATCTCCGTGGTCTGGGTATGCCATCACAAGGCTCATATTATAGTAAAAAATTTTGGGGGAAAATGAAAAGAAACTGGGTGGTAAACATCGCCTATCGGCGAGGCATGACGTCAAAGTGTTAAATTAAAGCGTTCGTGGATAATGTGCGTATGAAAACAAGCTTATAATATCGTTTTCCATGTGTCCCTGTCATATATTCTTCTCGCTGGTTTGCCATTATTCTAGGGTTACATATTTTAACTGGGAATGGACAATGATTAATACATAAGCTGCGCATGCCACGAAGTCGTACATTCGTGACGACTGAGACCAGCACACAATGAATGACAGTTTAGTCATCTTTGGTTTTCATTGTGCGCAGATTCTCTGTCAGCCCTAAAAAATTTGGGGGCAAATAAAAAGAAGTAGCCTATAATGTGTGTCCGTATAGGTGTTTATTCTCAACTAAAGTAAACATTTGCTCTCTCCCCCTCTCTTTATTTCTCTCTCTCTCTCTCTCTCTCTCTCTCTCTCTCTCTCTCTCTCTCAGCTAAGTAGTCTCCCAAACTACATTTTGTATTGCAGTCAGTCAAATTTTTTTAAAAGCTAACAAGGTTAAATATGTAAACTACCATTTTATAGACCTGTATCCTTTTCAACCAGGCAGACAAGACATCATATCCTAGTTTCACATGTTACATACAGCGTGAGAACATTGAAATAGTTATGACGTTATAGTTTCCAAACAAAAAAACAGACATGCACAAAAGTGGCGATTAAATCCGCAGCTGCTCGTGCCAGCAGAATGTTTATTGGCAAGAATGTTTTGCGGCTTTGAAATAAGGAGAAAAAGGGTTACAGCAGAGAGTTTTACAGCAAGATGAAAACTTCCCACAACAACACCTGCAATTAGTACAGTAACCACGTCCGATAGTACTAGGATATCTGTCAGAATAACCAAACTTTCCAAATGAACTTTATTTAAAAATAAACAAAACAAAAACCCAAATAAAAATAAAACAAACAAATCTCTTCTGGGAATTTCAAACAGTGCCATCATTACTATAGACTAACATGATCCCCCAAATTATGATACGACTTCCGTGAACAGGAGAGCAGAAATATTATGTCTACCGACCAGATTTTCCTTTCTACTGCGAGTAGAAGTTATAGAAAAATTCTGAAGATCTCGATTGTTGAACTAAAGTTTTAGAGAAAAAATAAACCCCAGAGCAGGAATAAAACTGGCTGTGTTGCAGCAGTAGGGGAAGGTCAAGGAAGGGCGAAAGGGGTGAGTGAAAGAAACAACGAACATGAGAGAACCCTTTCCCCTATAAACCCACAGGAATATTACAAGCCTTCATTAATACCCAAACTTAAAGTTGGGGTCAGAATCCGTGAGGTCGTTGACCAGGGTAGTTCGTCCGTCCACGCAAGAGTTGGAAGTGGTTAGCCCTGTTACTACCAGTTCGTTGGTGTCCGTACGGCAATAAATGGGGGCGCCAAGATCAGCAATCTGAAAGGTCATAATACAAGAGATTAGCTAAGTTTAGATTAGTACGAATTTTACGGCACTTGCAACACAATTAGGAAATATATTATATTTTAAAAATAATATGTGTTTTTACGTGCCCACCAACAAAATTTAGTTAATTTAGGAGTCGGGTTTCGATCCTGTCTATCAGGGGTAACCCAGGCTGAATGGGGTACAGCTTTCCGGTACGAAGATAGAGATACTAAATAAAAACTATTCCTTACTGGGAAATCCAACTCGGGTCCGCTGTGTGCAACAGCGAATCACCTGACCGCTATACCACGGATGCCAGTATGAGATCATAATAATATAAGTGCCGTAGATTACATGTAGAGGTTTACTACAGAGTAACACAAATCTCTTCTTCTTTTCTTTGTATGAAGATGATAGATACTTTATAGAAAAGAAGAAACAAACCACACCACAGCATCTACGAGTATAACCACCCATGTACTCGAGACACAAGCCGTCTACAATACATACACACAGTGTGAGCGCACCTTCCTCTTACACATACCAACACGCGTGGTACCCACACATACACACACACACGCACACACACACACACACACACACACACACACACACACACACACACACACACACACACATGCATGCCCCCCCCCCCCACACACATGATTATGATGATGTTCGTCCATCACTGGCGAAGATAACCTTGACTTCATATCACTGGAGGGGTGGGGTGTGTGCGGAGATGGCTGATCAGTCCGATCTTTGCTCGGAAATGTCTGTTGCAGTGGGATCAGGGGATTTTGGGGCTGAACAAGGCTGGAAGGTAGAGGTCTCTCGGTCTTTTGTCAGCTGCCGTCTCCATTCTTTCTTTCAGACGCGACTTTCTTCGAATTTGGCCATAACCGATCTTACTAAGGAACGCCAAACTGTGCGATCGCGAGCAGCTTCTTCCCAGTTAGTATGGGAAATGTCACATCTCTTCAGGGATGTTCTCAGAGCATCTTTGAAGCGTTTCCTCTGTCCGCCGAGAGAACGTTTGCCTTGGGTCAGTTCACCGAAGAACAGTTTCTTTGAGAGTTGAGAGTCGTCCAAGCGCTGATCGTGGCCGGCCCACCGCACACACACACACACACACACATACACACACACACACACACACACACACACACACACACACACACACACACACACACACACACACACCCATGCATACCCCCTACCCATACACACACATACAGACACATACAGACACACACGTACACACTGGCACATGTGCACAAACACATACAAATTCACACACATATAATTACACACACATACACACACACACACGTACGCACATGTACGCACAGATTGTGTGTTGCATCGTGGTGAAATTTTAAAAAAAAAAAAAAAAGGAGAAACCAACATTTTTCCGCCCGTTCGGCAATTTTTTTTATCAAATTCTGTTGATTGACTCAACACCGATTATGTCTTTAAGAACTTAAAACGTTGATCAAAGGCACAAAAATGTCAAATTTTAAAATTACCGTTCCCAAAGAAATTCAGTTTTGGAAGTGATCAAACTTTGGCGACCATTTACTTGCTAATTTAACCTCTGACACCAGGCGACCCCCACCTTTTTCAATCACAAATAGCTCAACTTCTGTTTAAGATAGGTAGTCATTGTTTCCATCTAAATCTTGGCAAATGAATAGACATAAAAATTATATCAATAACCCCAAACGCCCAAAAATTGATGAGCGCCTGATTCTACTGACTTGTGACACATATGATTATGGATCGTGAATGCCATAGACTCGTATTGTAATATCCTTGGGCGTGGTCCGACGCATTTCCAGTTCACCATGAAACGCACTCTTTGACTCAGTTTGGAGCCAGATGAAAGGCAAAAGGGAGACTTTAGCCCGACTGTTGTTTTGCCCTTCATCTAGGCAACCATGGTGCGCAAAAAAAAAAAGAAAAAAAAAAGGGGACGGCCATGGTGGTGTACAGTCTAGGATACTGTAATTGTATAAGTCTGTGACAAACACTCACTTGATCTGTGGTGTAACGATATCGGTTTTTCGCCTTGTATGCTTAATGATATGAGTTCAGCTCCTACCATTTTTTCGAACAACTCCAAGCTCTCATCGGCTCAAGTTGACTAAACTAGTTGAAGCATTGTGTCCCTTCAATGATCAAAATGGTGCTGATGGAGGCGTAAAATATCTAAAGTCGAACAACCACTTACCCCACAGGCGGCACCATCGGAGGTGACGCAGTTTAGTGGCACGTCTTTGGTAGGAACTTGGGCGTATTCCGCATTGAGGGTATCTTCCTTATCGATCAAAGAGCAGCATTCGACGCCACTAATTTTTGTCAGGCTTGTGGCTTCCAGGCTTCCATCGAAAGTTACTGGTGAAAACAGTTTTAGTTTTGGTAAGGGTTTTATGGCACTTGCAACACAATAAGGTCCTATAAGTGCCGAAAATTAGAGGTGTTACAAGAGAGTTGCAAATAGAAAAAAAGAAGGAGGAGAGATCTGGACGATATTATGTTTGATAGGAAAGAAGAAGCAAACCACTCCAAAGCACACGCCAACCTCCCACCCCTCACCCCCTGGTAAAAAAAATAATGGTCATTATGTTACTGATGACGTAATGGCGATCATAATGTAATTTGGTGAAAAAATCGTGATAACGACGTTACTGTAGAAATATAAAACGCTACTATTTCTGATTTTGCATGTTTTTGACACGATTATGTGATAATGTGACATGTTTACATTTTGCGTTCACTCAGCTCATTTAAATCTTATGTGTATGTATGTGTTTTTGTGCGAGTGTGTATGTTTGTGTATGTGTGTGTATATGTGTATAAATATCATTATGTTATATATATATATATATATATTATATATATACCGTATATATATATATATATATATATATATATATATATATGACCAAATCTTGGTCATTCTCTGCCTTCCCTAATAGCAGGTAGTGTGCATGAATAACTAAAATGTAAACAATGCGAAGCTTTGCGCATCCAAATCCTTTCGCTTTTTTTAAGAGCAAACTTGTATCGCCTATTTGTGCCCTGCGCAAATATCTATTTTTTGAAAATTCTTAATTTGTTTTGTAGACGTAATATACACACTTTGATACTTTAAAAAAATTTAGCTGTTAGAGAAAGTTGGTTTGTGAGTAGCGAATGTGAAGAGTAGATCTATCTGTTTGAAGCAGAAACAAAGGGGAAACTTTAAAGCCGTTTTTCTCAAAACTTTGTTTTCGTACCTTGCCTTACAAAATCACCCATATCTCAAAAACTACTGAAGATATCTTTAAAATTCAAAAGCATAATTGTTCAGAAATTATCTCTTTATATGAAAATGCAAAGAAAACAACAGCAAAAAAAGCTGGAATGATTCAAAATGCGTCATTTGGTACCTTTCACCAGGCACGCACACTGTGTGTGTGTGCGGGTTTGTGTGTGTGTTTCATTTGGTGAGTGTTTAATGGCACTCGCTACTGCATAAGGTCATATGAGCGCGCGGGGCATGTAAAGCACCCACTCCATATGTAATATAAAACACACATTAGGAATCATAACGGCCTCGTCACTTTCATTAAATGTAGGCCTACCTGGACGTGGAACTAACGTTCTGACCAAATCTATCCTGATCCAAACATTATGTGTATGAGCTTAAACTCATAGATGTACACTCGTTCTTTTTCACATATACACGTTTTATCTTCCTCTCTTTCTTTCATGTTCTCTGTCTTTCTCTCTCTCTCTCGCTCTCTCTCTCTCTCTCTCTCTCTCTCTCTCTCTCTCACACACACACACACACACACACACACACACTCCCCCGCACACACCAAAAGAGAAAGAAAGAGAAAGAGAGAAATAAAGAAAGAGAATGAGAGAGAGGGGGGGCGGGACATACACACACACATAGACACATACAAACACACACATAAACACACACACACACACACACACACACACACACACACACACACACACCCACACCCAACACTTTCTCTATTGTTTTCCATTCCGTTAGTCTATGTTTATGTTCAGTGCAGTCCTTCCTTTTGATATGAATTCACTGCTTCCATGTTTAGTCCACATTTATTGGGCACCGTTATGATCTAAGTCAGTGAAATCAAGTGGTGCTATTTAGCCTTTTCTCTTGTATGTCTGTTGGGACGTTATTGGCGGTTCAACAATACTTGAAATTTACTTTCAATCTGAAAACGACCAAAGTCTCCATATTTCGATTGCTTCTGAATATAACGATAATGATGATGATGATGATGATGATGGTGATGATGATGATGATGATGATGATGATGATGATGATGATGATGATGATGATGATGATGATGATGATGAAAACGAAGACGATGAAAGTCCCAAAAGAAACGTAACCAATCATAAGAACACATAGTTGCGGGACGGTGCAGTAGAGTAAACAACTTACTTGTAGTCTCTGTCATTGTCACTTTCTCCATCGTAAGGCTTCTTGAGCATTACTTTCCCGGACGACATACATTTCTTGGCACACTCCCTGCCGCCGGGTGGCTTGAAATCTGAGTTGTGTGTCGTGGATGTTTGGAGGAT